GGAGAGCTCAGTCTCTCTGGATAGCTACCAATGAGTTCTCAGGGAAAAGCCATTTTTCTAGGTGCCTCCCTACATCTGCCTCTAGACACCCTACAGTGCCAAGTTCCTGCATCTGGCTTCAGTGGTTCAAAGTGGACAAGAAGTTACAGAGTTCTTGACGCTGGGGCTCAACTCTAGCCCTCAGGGACAGTGACAGAACTGGGCCAAAGAATAGCTATCCTTTACAGCCGGGTCCCCAGAAATGCCGCTCGTTGCCACGGCTTCAGAAAGCAGTTTGAAGTTCTCAGCTATGAAAGTCTGCCAGGGAGACCTGTATTCTTTACATGGACAATGAAGACTGAGTCCAAGGCTCCATGCCTCACCATCTAACAGGTCTTAAGCATGTGTGGGATTTGGGGCATTGAGTTGACCCCAGAGGCAGAGAGATGACTAAGTCAAAGGCTCTGCTTAGCAGAAGCCAGCAGCCACAAAGCACACTATTAGACCTACAGTAGCTTAGAGAAGGGCCACTGGGTAGTCCTTCCTGTTTTTCTCCTGCAAAAGAGCTATTTCTGCCAGGGCTGGTGAGTTCGACCAGAATTGAGAAGCAGCCTAGTGGCTGAGTATGTTTTCATAAGACTTTCCAACACATACTATTTCACTCATTTGCATTAAGCTTAAGGGCAATTTCTAGGTAGCCTCTCCCCCACTGGACCTTGGCCTGATTCCCTCTCCAGACCCTCCCAACTCTAGAAGCTCCCACCATCCAGTCAGGTGCCTGACCCTAGGAAGGCATTTGAGACCTGTGGGAATCCCCCTGCAGTGCCTTCAGCCAAGGGGATTTTGGTGGAGAGAACTGAGTAAGGAACCGAATTCCAAAGACAGTGTTTCTTTGTCTCTTTTCTTGGCCTCAGGGCCAAGAGGGCAGGTTTCTGCAAGTTTACTGTCAAAGCTGCTTTCCCCCAAACAAGCTGCAAAGCAGCCTGGGAGAGTGGAAAGCAGATTACATTAATCTCAATGTGCTGAGCATGGCAGGGGGCTGGACTGTTTGGTCATTTCAGAAATAGCCCAAACTCCTTTGTTACTAAAGCAGGTGATGAGCTATTGGCCTTCAAGACAAAGCTAAACTGGTGGGAACCTTTACCATTCCAGAGTACCCTCACCTCCACCTCTGAGATTGTACCTCCTGTTACCTACCCCAGGGTTACGACTGAGAGTAGAATTTCTGATGTTAGGGTGAAGGACTTAGTCTTCTCTCCATAGATTTTTTTTTTTTAAAGACTCAGATTCCAGCTCTTTGTTTCCTGTAGGTATGCTTTGGCTTGTAGCCTCTGAGCTGGTGAGGGCACCTATGTTTAGTATATGAAAGAATCTAACCTGGAAGCCTTTGCCTCTCTGACAGGGCACATTAACAGGTCTCACGTGGAAAGAGTTGGGGTAGGGAAGACTTCAGTTGAACAGGAATAGCTCCCACAAAGAGGCAAGCTATCAGGAGCAATAATTTGATAAGAACCCGTGAACTGGGGGAAGGGGCAACAGCAGTGATCCCAGAGCTAGGAGGAGAATGGATCCATTCCAGTTAAATTCCATCACTAATACCACAACAGGCACTGCAAACCACTCACTTCCGTCTGCCTGTGCTCTCAGGCAGAACTGTGGCTGTTTAAAACAAAGCAGTAGCCAGGTGTGGTAGCGCACACCTGTGATCCCAGCACTGAGGAGGCCAAGGCATCCTGGGCAGCTTAATGAGACCCCATCTCTAGATGGATAGATAAAACCCCAAAGAATCAATCTTACAGGGAGCTGTCTCAGATAACATGTGATAATTATGCTCACTATTGACTGGGCACCTGGCACGAAAAGATGGAGTCAAAGAAGACTGGGTAGTTGATGAGCTTGCATCTTTTAAAAAAATATTTTTTATGTGTATGAGTGTATTGCCTGCATGTGAGTGCACCCATGTCCTGCAGTGCCACAGAGGTCAGAAGAGGGCTTTGGATTCCCCTGGAACTGGAGTTAAGGACGGTTCATAGCAGCCATGTGGGTGCTGGGAATTGAACCCAGGTCCTCTGCAAGAGCAGTCAGTGCTCTTGACCACTGAGCCATCTCTCCAGCCCCAGAGCTTGCACCCGTTTTACATACGAAATAGATAAAAAAGCAGAGAGGGTGGCCTCCAAGAGAAGGCCCTAGGGTTGTGGGTGGCACCCTATGTGACCCCAGGCATTTCTTGAGCTTTTCCTGGTGAGCAGTGCTTAGCTGCTGTCCACAGCACCATGGTAAAATAAGTTCTGATACCTTTATCATACAGCCCATGAAACAGACTGAAGGAATCAGGACTTGTGGCATAATCCACTCTGTTATGGAAATAGTCTCTAAGCCAGGTCTAAGCCTGGGTTTACCAACGTACATCCAGTTGGACCCTGTCTCTGATCTTAAGGAATAGAACCAGGATTAATGGGCAGAAATGAGCAGAAAGACAGATTAGGGCTCATTATAAGGAGATTTGTAATTATACTACCCAAGGTAGCAACAAGGTACTTCAGAGTTAAGAGTCCCTCTGTCACTAGAGGCATTCAGACAAATGCTAGAATGTCAGTGGGTGGGAGCACTGAGAAGGATTTTGAAATATTAGTAAGAGTCTGAAGGCAGCGGTGATCTTGTGCTTCTGTGATCCTCAGGGAATGTTTGACTGGGCTCTAATTAGGAAGAAACAACCATCATCTAAATACAGCACTTGGCTTTCATAGTAAGCTTAGTATTTGAGCATTGTTTATCTACCACTTTAAATAAAATTACAGTTATTTCTTTGCATATCTAATATTAGAAAATAAAGGCAGAGGAAAATGTATAAACTCAAACTTTAAAATTTAAGAGAAACTCAGTCTAATTCTGTCATAAACTCAGTTTTCCTAGCTGTTCATGGATTGTAAAGATTTTAAACAGCTTTACAGTTTAGAAAGACTAATTCCAAAAGGGAAAATTTTCTCATTCTCTACAGAAAAACCAAAGCTATTGATAAAAATGAATATGGGCATCTGAGGGCATTTTTCTTTCTTCCTTTTTTGAGTCAAAGTCTTCCTGTAGCCCCATCTGGCCTGGAACTCGCTATGTAGACCAAGCTGGGCTTGATCTCACAGAGGTCCGCCTGCCTCTGCCTCCTGAGTGCTGGGACTAAAGGTATGCGTCACCATGTCTGCTAAGGACATTTTTTAAAACTTGCTGGTGTGACTTTGTGTCAAACAGAAATCAAAACTTTTTTATTATTTTATATGTGTGCATACATACATGCTTGTACATCTATGAAAGGGGATGTGCACATATGTCATGGTTCATGAGTGGAGGTCAGAGGACAACTTTCAGGTTCTCTTCTTCTACCATAGGTTCCGGGGATTGAACTCAGTCATAGGTGACAAGTGCCTGCCATCTCACCAGTTCCAGAAATTAGGGTGGTTTTTTTGTTTTTGTTTTTTTGTTTCTATGGTGTTTTTGAGACAAGGGTCTCCCTGCAGCCCCAGCTTTCCTGAAACTCTGGAGCTATGTAGACCAGGCTGGCCTCAAACTCACAGAGATCTGCCCGCCTCTGCCTCTGCTTCCTGAGTGCTAGGATTAAAGGCATGCGCCAAATAGCCTTATCAGTCACATCTCCTGGATGGTTGGTTCCTTGTTGAGCTTTGAAATCTATTCTATAGTTAGATCCTCTAGAAATTAGACTAAAGACACAGTCCTACGTAGTGATTTTTCATTACAGAAGGTTGATTGGTCCTGGTTTATTTGGCCTCAGGACTGCTAGTAAGAAAAGGAGCCAGAGGAGGAGGATCTGCTATGGCCCAGTTACAGACCTTGCTAACATGTATCTGGTTTTATTCCTCATACTGCATAATTAAATACTATGAAGTAAGAACATTGTCATTCATATGATACAAAATTACTTAAGTAACAATGTACTGCAGTCATTTTTTATTATTTTGAGATCACTTTTGTTTATCATCACCACCGGGTTATGCTTAATATTAATAGGTTTGTTGCGATAAAGAAATGGCTTTTCCTCTTCTCTCTTTTTTAGGAAGTTCCAGGTTAAAGGCACCTCAAGCTCACTGGGCACTTGGTGATAGAGAACAACCTTGGGCAGGGGGTGGGGAGAAGGTTCCAGAAATGAGGTGGTGAAGCTTGCACCTCTGCACTGCAAGCCACCTCCTGGGAGATGCCTGCAGAAGTGAGGACAGGGGACCCACTGCACACAGGCTGTGGAGGGCAGCCCGGCCCACCCGGGGGCATTGGGTCAGGGCTCCATAGGAAGGCCCACAGACTAAAGCAGCAGAAGTTAGGAAGGTTTTCCACTGAGATGAAGGGAGGGTCTGATTGCTGAGGGCTGGATGAGTGTAAAGCTGTGCACTGCACAAGAGGCATGATAAGAAGTAGGGACCAGCAGCTTCCATAGTGGAGAAAGCAAAGAAGTGCATAGTTAGTGCAGACCCCCAGTTGACCAGTCTGGATAGTTCAGAAGATAGTGTCTACTGATGTTTCAGCCCCTCATTCCCTTGGCATCAGTTTCAGGGGGCTGATATTTTGGAGCACTGTTAAAACCCAACCCTCCAGGGAGACTCCTGGAAGGTTCATTTTACTGTCTGCCAAACTCTGTTATACCATAAGCCCTGTGTGGAGCTCAGCTTCTTGACCTGGCTTTAGATGTCATCTTGATTACTATTTCATGTTCTCCCACAAACGCTTTATTTTTCTGAACCAGCAACACCCAAGGTCTTGCCTCTCTAAGGACAGAACTCTTGCCTGTCTAGCCTGGTTAAACTGTTCTTAGTGTAGATGGTAAAGACCTTACTAGCTGCTGAGCTGTACACCACACTCTTTGGTGTGGCTGCTGAAACACTACCACCAGGAACTAGGTTGTGGAGAGCAGGGAATGCAAGTTGGCACTATGTCTTGGCGGCACCAGTGAGTGCTAGCTGTCCATCTCAGCTGGCCTCTCCTCTGAACTCTGCTGCTTTGTCTCCTCCTCTCTCATGCAGAGACAGGGCAGGGCATTGTTCATGCACTGACCGACCTCAGCAGCCCCGGCATGACCTCAGGGAACGGAAACTCTGCCTCCAGCATCGCCGGCACTGCCCCCCAGAATGGTGAGAATAAACCACCACAGGCCATTGTGAAACCCCAAATCCTGACGCATGTTATCGAAGGGTTTGTGATCCAGGAGGGGGCGGAGCCTTTCCCGGTACGGACTACTTCTTTTCCCCCCTCTTTTTTTTTAAGTATATTTTGGATGTGTACTAGAATATTTTTACATTCCATGTACAATTTCTGAAAATGTGAATAATTTGCTTTTTCCTTGCTAATCTTCCCACTCCTGAAGAATGTCAGAATCATTTCTTTCTAGGATTGAGTGTCTCTCCAAGGTCCAGAAGGACTTGGTGATCAGAAATAATTGACAAGACCCTTTGGTTAGAAGTTTCCATACACAGACTCAGCTATGTCCCTGACTGGTGACCTGTGACCCTTTGAGTAAAGGGACTTAATTTGCTTTGGGCTATTTGATGAGAGACTGTGGACTTTGGAAAATTACACGTCATTGAGCTTTCAGTGCCCAAACCTTTGAACAGCAAAACTTTGGCCAGTTAGAGAACAAAGGAATCTGTTTGCTACAGACTTCTCAACATGTGTTAGAAAGGAAGATGGTGGCATGGAGTGTGGCCTGAGGCTTGTTTTCTGGGAGCAGAGTCTTTGAAAGGAGTGAATGCGATGAAGGGACCTTCAGAAAGGGCACAGCCAGGGCTCGGCACTGAAAACATAAGGTCAGAGGGAAATAGAAAAGCATCACAGAGATGGGTTCTTAGGGTGCAACAGCCAGAGCCAGCTCTGGGCAGCAAGGCCCATGTGTGGGTATACGGAGCCTGCAGCCAGCCGCACACCATGTGTGCAAGACACGGTATTCCTGAGGTGCCATCTACCAGTTCCTCATTCTTTGGATCCATAGGAAATTTGATAAGTCACCAGAAGACTAAACTTGATTCACTGCAGTGGGTGAACTGCCTCCTAAAATACCAACAGACCAATGGGTCTTGCCCTCTCCCTTTGGAGGTTGGCCGAGGCCAAGGGCACATCCACCAGGAGCATCTTAACTATGAGGAGCCAGCTTTGCTGTCTGCCTCCCGTTACTACCCTGGGTCCTCCTCTTGCCTCTGGAGAAAGACTCAAGCCAGCTGAGCCTGCAGGGTGGAGGCAGAACAGCACCCCGGCATCCTTCTAGTCACACAGTGTGTGCACTGGCCACTAGGCTACGTAAACAAAGGGAAGGCCAACAGTCTGGAGTGCTGGCAGCCAGGGCATGTGCTTGGGTCAGTTGTGTCCTGCTCTCCCCCTTCAACTTGAATAGAGCTGACGTTAGGTGGAAAATAGTAAGAAATCTAAACAGGGGCACCTAGTCTTTTCTAAGTACATTTTCACACTTAGCCCTGCCCCTCCTGGTGCCCTGTGAACACAGGACCTGGCACTGGATAAGTTGTGAGGGAAACTTGATCTCTGTCCTTGGACACCTGGCAGAAGAAACTGACTTCTGACCTCCTGAGCTGTCCCTGTATGTGGTGCCCACTATTTCTTGTCTTGGGAGCCAGGCAGCAGAACAGCGCCTTCAGTGGGACACCCGTGGATGGTGGCATGGAGGGGTCTTGGGGAGGGCTGGTACATCTGCTTGGCTACTTTATACCTGTGATTGTAATGAGGCTGCATGACAAGGGATCTGTGAGGACCTAACCCTTGTGGCCTCCATGTCACCTCTCCTCTAGGTGGGACGCTCGTCCCTGCTGGTGGGGAATCTGAAGAAAAAGTATGCACAGGGGTTCTTGCCTGAGAAGCTTCCGCAGCAGGATCATACCACCACCACTGACTCAGAGATGGAGGAGCCCTACCTGCAAGGTAGGCATTATAGTCCTGGGTCTAAAGTCTGCCGGGATAGCTGGAAGGGCAGGCCGCCTCCTCCTCCTTTCTGTTTCTGTGAAGGAACACTGAGCAGGGACCAACTGAACATTCCTGCCCACTGAGCATTTCCTAGTCTCTCCTCACCCTCTGTCACTATAGAACAGGGATGGGAAATGGGGAGCCATTCATCCCTCTCTCTCCAGCCCCACTCCAGCCAGCCACATGGTTCCAGAGTTGCACTTCCTTTAGGAGGTTTGGCTAGTCCTAAAGAGGATAAGGACAGCACCAGGCAGTTGTGCCCCCTTTGCCGCCTTGGAAGCCTACATTTGGGGCTGGGCTGGCTGTGAGGCATGGACTGCACCTGGCAAGTGCAAGCCTCCTGCTTCCTTCATAGTCATGTAGAAGGTCGCTGACTTTGCCCAACTGTGTCGCACCTCTGGCTCATAGCACTGGAAAGGGAAAACTGTTAAGTTTATAAGCAATGTCACCAGATGCTCTCAGGAACTCTCCAGTGGAGAGACATAGCTTTTATAAAGAGTCACAAAATTCCTTGGCATGTTCCGCATCTACAGGAACATTGAAGAGACAGGATAGGTTGGGCTGTCCACAGATGCAGAAACCCCTCCTCCACACTCATCCATTTCCATCCTTTGCAGAATCCAAAGAGGAGGGCACTCCCCTCAAACTCAAGTGTGAGCTCTGTGGACGGGTGGACTTTGCCTACAAATTCAAGCGTTCCAAGCGCTTCTGTTCCATGGCTTGTGCAAAGAGGTGAGTAACCCCAGCTCTACTGCGGCTCCCAGGCCCTTCCCTGTCCTCAGGATTATAACTAGAGGTCTCCTTCCAGTTCATCTACCTAGAGGCCGTAGGTAAGGCTCATCTAGCCTCTAAGCTCCCCGGCCTGCCTAGCTGCAACACTGCAACCCAAGTGCACCAGCCTGAGAAACCAAAATCCCCAGGAGTGAGAGAGGGACCATCACTATCCAAACACAGGAAGTAGCCCATTAGCTTGCTGGGCCTCCTGGGTCCTAAAGGCTGCTGCCACTCCCTTAAGTACACCTTCCACCAGAAGCTTTACTAAGAACCATGGCGAGCTTTTACCCCCCCTTAGAAGGTCAGCAACGATGATGTCATTTATCAAGAAACTACTTCAGAGTGGGCATGGTGGTGCAAGGCTGAGGAAGGATTGCCGTAAGTTTGAGGCCAGCCTCGGCTATCTAGTGAGTTCAGGGCCAGCTTGGACTACATGGGAAACTCTCAAAAACCAAAAACAAAAAAGGAAAGAGCTTGAAACTTGGTGCCAGGCACTAAGGAGTCAACTGAATCATCCTCAGAGTGTCTGCTAGGCAGCTGTTACTACTGTCCCCACTATACTGCTGTTTGCTTTATGGGGTTGGAAAAGTAAGGCACAGAGGAGTGGCAGTGTCCAAAATGAGACAGCTGGTAAGTCACAGGTGGGAATTTTTAGATTTCTCTGGCTCGAAAGCCTTTTGTGGTCTTTATATCAAGCTGGAAGAAGTGGCTAACCTTGAAGCCCAGAGCACCCCCAAAGAAGGAATCTGAGTTCCAGGCAGAGGTGCTATGTGTGACCCCACCCCCAGCCCCCTGAGTTCCTGTCCTTGGCCATGCTTCCCAGGCTGAGCTGAGGGAGCCAGGGCCTCTTGGTCAAGCTTCACTAGGCCACACTCCAGCAGGACAGTAGATGATAGCTTCCTGCATATGTAGTACGTGGCAGCCATGCTCCAGGTGGTTTTCTTAAACATCACCAACTTTGCCTCATGTCATCCTGAGACCAGTTTTAGAGAAATCTGAGAGCTTAAGTTCTGCCAGAGTCACACAGTTAGCAGCAAAGTGCCAGAATCAAGATTTAAACCTATAGACTGACTCAAATTTTGCCAGATTGTGGGCCCCCTGCTCTGACTTCCCTGTTTCTATCTAACAGGTATAATGTGGGATGCACCAAACGAGTGGGACTTTTTCATTCAGACCGGAGCAAGCTGCAGAAGGCAGGGGCCACAACCCACAACCGCCGTCGGGCCAGCAAGGCCAGTCTGCCTACACTTACCAAGGATACCAAGAAGCAGGTAAAAGGCTGCAGAGCCCTGTGCCCGCAAGTACTCACCAGTGTCATCTGACATGTTCCCTTCCAACATGCTGTTCTCATCTCTCATGGGTCTCAGGTCCAGCCTTCTCTTGGTACCTTTGTAGGGCTCTTCCTTTAGTCCTCGCCAGCAGCCTTGTCCTAACACTCCTCCCCAGTGCTCCACCACCACCACCCACCCACCCCTTGGGGTTGCCATCCATCCTTGACCTCTGGGGTCTGCCCCTACTGGCCCTTGTGGAGACAAGCTGTTCATGTACTGGGTTAGGTGAAATGGTGGTTACCACTGTTTGCCCTACTATTTTTTTGTCCCCCTGAAAACTGGAGCACTAAGTTCATGGAGATCTCCACCAGGAACCTGGTCATTCATGTATTAAATGTCTTTCTATCACCAGCTCTGTCCCAGGAGCTTTGAGGCACCAAACTCCAAGGACATAGATCAGATCATTGCAGTGTAGTGTGGTCCATGAGACAGTACTGAGGGCCTGACAGTTGAGGGCTGGAGAGGGGAGCACAGTAGATGCAGTGTAATCCCGAAACTCCAGGGTATGCAGTGAACCAAACAGAAAAGGGAGCAGCACTTGCCTCTGCCTACCTCTGCTACTGGAGTGGTTGGTTCCCCTCCTGAAGAACACCGTTTCTCTCTGCTCCCAGCCCTCAGGCACTGTACCCCTTTCAGTTACTGCTGCCTTGCAGCTGACACACAGCCAGGAAGACTCCAGCCGGTGCTCAGATAACTCAAGCTATGAGGAACCCTTGTCACCCATCTCAGCCAGCTCATCCACCTCCCGCCGGAGACAAGGCCAGAGAGACCTGGAGCTCCCTGACATGCACATGAGAGATCTGGTGGGCATGGGACACCACTTCCTACCAAGTGAGCCCACAAAGTGGAATGTAGAGGATGTTTACGAATTCATCCGCTCTCTGCCTGGTAAGTCTCTTGGAACTTCCACACCTGCCTGGAACAGTAGGGAGTGAGACGGTGAGGGGCTGCACCTCCATCCACCAGGAAGTCAGGACTCAAGGAGCAGAGGTTAAGGGCACAAGGCTCCTGCATGTGAAAGCTTATATTTTTGCACAGGACAAACTTTAAGAAACAATTAATGGCTAAAATTTGAAATAGCTACTGGCCTGGGAAGTATATCTCTGAAATACATGATCATGAAGTTAATCCTGTCTCTCTTCTGAGGCAGGCTGGGTGGGGAATCAGGTGAGAGTGTAGGCAGTGTATCAAAGAGGAGAGAAAATGAACAGCATTTAAGTGGGCTTTTGCCAGGTCAAGAGACTACCCATGGGAGCAGCTTGAGCAAGGGCAGAGGACAGAGGTGTGTGACACAGCCGCGACTGCACATAGCCCTTGGGAGGGAGGGTGGTGAATATGAGGCTGGGCTCTAGACTTGCACTTGGAAAGGTAAATGTTGTAGCGTTCCAGATTCTTCCACTGTCAGGTTAGCAATGGCAGCCACAAGCCCATGGCAGGGTGGAGTGTGGTTTAGAGGTTGGCAGTGCAGACTTGGAGGCAGAACTGGGTCCCAAACCCAGCACTGTCACTTAATCCAGTATATGTGTTGTCTATCACTATATCCCCCTGATTTCTCAAAGCACAGCTACTTTAGATAAGGACTTGCGAAATGCCAGGAGCTGTGCCTCCGAGGTCCCTTGTGAGGATGCAGCTCTGTCATCCTTGACCAAGGCCAAGGTCATCTGCAGGCTTCACTGGGGCAGGAGCTGTAGGATCCTCACTCAGGTGGTTTGCAAGAAGGGGCTGGTTGTTGGCAGGAGGCCTCAGTTCTCTACACAGGCCTCTCCTGGCAAGCATGGCAGTGGGTTTTCCCCACAGCTAGTAAATCTAGAGAGCAAGGCAGAATCCGTAGTGCTCTCTGCCACAGAAACCATGTTCTGCAATTCCCACAGTATCTTATTGGTCACAGACAAACTCAGTCCTTTGTGGGACCTCCCAGGGATTGTTGGAACACATTTGAAGATAGGCTGCCATGATTCATCCTGACCCCAGTGGCTTACATCTCTTCCTCATACAGCATACCCTCCCTGCCCCATGCCAGAGCCCCCAGGAAACTCATCCCATGGTAGTGTCAGTTTGAAGTCTTTTCCAAGTCAAGTCCGGGTATGGAGAGCTCTGTGGGCCAGCAGCATAGGTGTGGTATGTGGTTCCCCAGTCTGGAGAACTGAGGATGAAAACAGATGTCTCCCCACCACACCCACAGTATCTAATGGAACAGGCATCGGTAACTGAGGGAAGACAGAACATGCAGGTGCCTGTGGTCCACACCACCTCCAGACAGCCCATGTTGCCATTTCCTTGATGAGGACACAGACCTGGGGTGATTCCCTTCCACCTTTTGTCCTCCCCTCTGAGTCACCTGCCTGTTCTGTGAGAGGCAACCTGAGTTTTCAGTGGAACTGTTTTCTTAGTGTAATTCCCGCCTTTTATTTTTCTATGACTGATCTTTTCAGTCCCACCTGGGAGTATTTATGACGGTATAATTCTCTTGAAGTCTCTGTAGGCTGTGAATCTTGTTGGGGTTCATTCCATTAGACAAACACCTCAAATTCTCTTCCGGATAAGCCTTTCTTTAGTCAGACTTCTCTGAAACCCTCAGGACTCTTGGGGGCCTACTGTTGGGGGAGCACAAGGCGGGCTCACTCCATAGAGAGTTCTGGGTTGACCAGAACTCCAGGACTCCACCTTAAATTTTGGGGTTGTGTTGTTTGGTTTGAGTTTGGGTTTTTGTTGTTTTTGGTTTTTGAGACAGCATCCCCCTATGTAGCCTAGGCTGGACTTGAACTCACTGTCCTCTTGCTCTGTGCTAGTATCACAGGTGTGGGCCACTGTACTCAGCAATCCTGAAGTATTAGCAAAACATTTAAGTTACACCCTCAGTTTCACAAGTAGACAATACAAGGTTTTTAGAGTTATGCATTTAAACTGTTCTCTGGGTCTGATCTTAGCCTAGAAACCATGTTGTAATTCCCAGCACCATTTGCCATCTGGAGAAGCCAGGGACTTCCAGAATCAGTAGACACTGACTTTGGGATATTGAACAGCTTTTCCGCTTTTCTTCCTTTTTCACTTTGAGCAGGAGAAAGAAACCAGGCAACACTTGTAGCCTTCTGTCTGCAGATACCCTTAGGCCCCTTGATTCACCAGGTATATTAAACTTAGCATGTTACACCAACAGTATGGTTACATTTTCTGCTGCTTAGTAACAGTATGGAGTTGAATTCCCATTCCTTCCACCCTTCAGTTAAGTCCCTTCACTCTCCTTTAAGCCTCCCCAGCCGACTCCCCCAGGCCTTCTTGCTCAGGGTCCTTACCTTAATAATCACTGTTACTCTGCAAGTCAAGTCCTAGCTACCACTGGTGCCACTTTTTAATATCTCACTTCTCTCCAGGGCACCTGTCCTATTAATGCACACCACTCCAAAACTTAGCTTTAAACAGCAATGACCTAGTATCTCAAGGTCACTTGGGTCAGGCAATTGCTGGGGCTCCACTGAACAGCTCTGACTTGACGCATAGGAAGTCTCGGTGAGGAATCAGTCAGGACTGTAGCATCTGACGCTGCAGCTGGTATTCACTTCATGTAGCTGGGTTACACGGGAAAATGCCTCATTCATCAGCACAGATCCTCCCTAGAGGACTAAGTGTTCTGACATGGTGTTCAGCTTGCTGCAAAAGAAGTTATCTGCAAGATTGAGGAAAAAGCTGTTGTCCTCTCTAGGAGTCTTAGAAATCCATGCTGGCCCTTCTGCCCTACCTGTCACCTCACAGTCTGGGCAGTTAGAGTTCTGAATAGGGTCTGCATATGGAGGCCTGGCTCCTGCTCCCTGGCTAAGTCATTCATTCAGCCTTTTGGGTCCTAAGATAAGAATAGCAGTACTGCCTGCCCTCAAGGTACTATGGACAAGCTTCCCTGAGCCAGTTCTGTCTCTTGACTGCTGCTGTCATTGGTGGTCCCCCTCAGGCTGCCAGGAGATCGCAGAAGAGTTCCGGGCTCAGGAGATTGATGGGCAAGCTCTGCTGCTGCTCAAGGAGGACCACCTGATGAGCGCCATGAACATCAAGCTGGGGCCTGCCCTGAAGATCTATGCGCGCATCAGTATGCTCAAGGACTCCTAGGGCCGCTGCACCACTGGGCAGCCAGGGTTCCAGCCCCAGGTGCCGCCTCCTGATGGAGAGAGCCACAGACATTCCTGAGGGACCCAGAATGGGGCCAGTCAAAGGGAAGGGGCTCTCCCCAGGGGCGCAACAGTGAGGAGGTCTGAGTACCTCTTCAGTGGCTCTCAGGGGCCTTCCATTTCTGTGGGAGGGGTAGAGAGGTAGGCAGCACAGAAGATGGGGCTTTGCGCTTGTAAATACTAATAGCACTGGCTTCCTCCAAAGTCCCAATGTTCTAGCCCCCCCTCTTCCCTTCTCTTTGTCCCCCATTTTCCAGGGGGTTTGGTCAGGGCTCCCCAACCTAAGTTGGGTTACTTCCAAGGGCAGCCAGCAGGCCTGGACAGAGGTCTTGAAAGCTCTTGCCTTCTTCCCCTCCCACTTCTTTCTCTAGGCCTGGTTAACTTTCCGTTGCCAGCTTCTCCCCCTTCAGCCTGTTTCCACAGCAGCCAGGGGTTCTCCCCTACACCCTCTTCAGGTGGAGAGAGAGAAGCTGGGCCCAGTTTGGCCATGCCTGCTGGCATAGACGCCTTAACGCTGTGTGTATGACTGTGTGACTGGGGGCCTGGACTGACAGGCCATGAGCTGCCCTCTGGCATCTCCAGGTGTTTTGTAGCAAACAGCCACTTAGTGCTTTGTCCTGGACTCCACTCAGCCTGAGGCTGGGGAATAGAAAGAAAGGGCAGATCCAAGAGTTGAGATTGGAGGTCCTCTCCAGATGGCAAGAGGTCTCTGGAAAGCCCTCCTCACACCTGACTTCCAGCAAGCCCTACTGGTTCTAAAGCAACACAGGAGTAGGCCATGTGGTCCAGGGGCCATGTCAGCCTGTGCCTCCTGTGGCCTGCCTGCCCATCCTTAGAGCCCCTTCCCCCTCCAGGGGGCCGGGGGCATAACTAAATGGAGACACCTGGAGGCACTGTGTGTGAGGAGGAAGCCTTTGACCTTCCACTTCCATGCTGCTTGTAAACTTCTACTGCAGTAAGGCTACCTGAAGAGGGGCAGGGCAGGAAGGGCGAGGGCGTGCCTCTGACTTGCCCTGTCCTTACCAACTCTTGGAGAAGTCATTCTTCCCAGGAGGGGTGCGCAGTTTCTCACCTTGTTCTATTCCCTACCCACATCCCCAGGCAGAGTCGGAAATGAAGGACTTTTTTAACCTTTTGTTTTTAAAAAATAAATCTGTAAAATCTGCCTCTGTGCCTTTCTCTCTCAGGATGCCTGTGTCTGATGAATTTTTGCCCACAGGTGTGGAAAAGGATGGTCTCTGACTTTGGAAGGGATGGCTACCTCAACTAGACAGTGTACCCATTACACTTGGCTCGAGCTTGGTTGCTTGATTGTCCCCCAGCCCCTGTACAGTGTCCCTCACAGAAGTATAGGCCTCTTCGGCTCTGAGCCTCCCTGTCTGCCACTCCCACCAGGAAGCATGGAAGGCCAGCAATATCTTGAACTGCTGGAGCCAGAACCTAGACTCTCCACCTCCAGCAAGTACCTCTGGGTGGAGCAGTTCATGTCCATAAGAGGTGACATGGGTTAGCTTTGGTTCACTCAGCCCTTGCCAAGCATTTTATGATTAGGCCAGAGGAGGTAATATCTAGACCTCTCATGGAGGAAAGGCATTCTAGACCCCACAGTATGCACAAGGGCATGAAGGGATTGTAGAAGGGTAGATGAGAGGGATGGAGCAGGCCCAGTTGGATGATGTATATACAGCCAGGTGGTGGCTAGAGTTGGCTGTGTGCCTCTGAGCCAAGCGCTGTGCTAGACTAGATACAGCCTGTCCTGGGTGGTGGGATCTGCCCTGAACGTAGAAGGCTGGGCTGGGGAGGTCCTACCTCATTGCACCTTCCCTTGGCCTAGGTGGGTTGGTTTGGTTGGGGTGGCAACTTGAACCTGGCACAGCCTAAGCAAACATGACCACTGAGCTCTGCTCGGCTAGGTTTTTCTTAAGTTTTTTATTAAGGGTGTGGGTTTTGAGGCTCACACCACCGGAAGTTCTGAAGTAAGATTGGACACGATAACTTTAGAGAATGGACACCCCTATTTTGATAACTGCTCCCTATGGAACCAGTAAAAATAACTACCAACCAGAGGGGAGACACTGGTTGATCCCCAGTGAGACCAAGGCCTGGAAAGCCTGGTGTCCCTAAAGGCTGGGAACACTGCATTAAATAAGCCAGTAAGGCTTGAGGGAGGTGGCCTGAGGGAAAGTAAGCGGTAGGGATTCCCTCTCACCCCCACCAAAAAGGCACCTCCTGTCTGCCCCTTTCCTCTGCTGGCGGTGTGCACAGCAGCCCTTCCTGGACCGGCATGACTTAAGCTAGTCTTTTCCCTTGGACCACAATATTTTCCTTTGCAAGAAAAATTAACCAGGTCCCACTCACTTTTTGTGTGTGTGTGTGTGTGTGTGTGATGGAGAGGGGGCCAAAGCTACTCCTCAGAAGAGAATTTGGTAAATTTAAGATGGCGAACTCGGACAGTATTCATCTTTCTCACGTTGAATGAACTGGCCTAACATAGTCCAAAGTTAGTTATTTTGTATTTTGAGACAGGGTTTCATGTAGCCCAGGCCGGCCTGGGCCTCTGACTTAGCAGTCCTGCCTCAAGCTCCTAAGTGCTGATAACAGTTGTGAGCCATCACCCCAGCTTTTACTATTTGAATATTTGCTCCTGTTGTTGACACTTCAGATTTTCACAAATGTTTGGTCATGACTCACAGTTTTAAAAATTATTTCTGAGGCTGGAGAGATGGCTCAGCAGTTAAGAGCTCTGGCTGTTGCTTTTGCAAAGGATCTGGGTTTAATTCCTAGCACCCACATGATGGCTAACAACTGCCTGTAATTACAGTTCCAGGTGATCTGATACCCTCCTGACATCTGTAGGCATTGCATGACATAGGTGCACTTACATGCATACAGACAGTACACTCACACACATTAAATAATTAAAAAAACCTATTTCCCAACCTATGTAATATGTATGTACATACTTAAAGTATACATATGTAAATACATAGATGTATACTTCCCCTTACATACAATACATTCTGATTGTATCCTTTCTGTCATCTCCCTGTTCCTACATTTAAATTGATCTCCCTGCCACCTAAACTGACTTCCTGGCTCTCTGATGGGACTCGGCACTTTTAGATACACTGCCAGTGTGAGCTCCACAGAATCTGATCTGACCTTACCTGGTGACAGGCATAGGCACCTCATGGTGCCCATTGCCCTTCAGCTTTGGCTGGAGTTTGATGCAGAACAGGGAACAGAGCACCCTGATCCCAGCCACTCCCAGAAATGACACTTGAAGAGGGGGGGTCCCAGGACCCTTGGAGAAGAGAAGTCAGTACGTATGGCTCAGGGTATCCCTCCCTCCAGGCTAGCCTCGTTCAATCCATTCTCTTCTACATGCTTGACCCCAAGGGGCTTCCTGGCTCTTCCCCCACACTGGGGCCAGTTCCTTCCAGTAGGCCCCACCTCTAAGCAGGCCTCTCAGGGCAGTACATCCCTGACTGCCTCTGTGGGTGTGGTTCCTAAGGCTGAGGGGCAGGAAGGAGCTGGATACCTTTTCACTGGACTAGGTGTAGGTCATTTCTTCCCCATCCCCAGCTGCGAAAGTTCCTGGCAGGTTATCTCAACTGGTTTCTCTCTATGGCTGCCCAGGGATTCAGGTGAGTGGGTTCATTGCCAGGGGGCTGGAGGGTGTAGAAGTACAACCCTCAGGCCAGCTGACCTAGACACCAGAGCTGAGAACCAGCTGGGAAGATGGGGCACCTCTTGGAATGGATGGTGAGGAAATGGGACGGTGTCCCCTGAGGAGGTGGAGAGCTCCTCTTCCTTTGTCCCCTGGGTGAGGCAAAAGCCAGGGCCACGGCTACGCTGTAGCTGTAAGCTCCCTGGCCCCAAGGGGACTGACAGCCCAGGACTGGAAATATGTTCCTCCTTAAAGCAGAGAAAGGAAAGCAGGGGGTCGGGAAGGGCTTGCCCAGCCATCTTCTGCAGATGGAGCTGAGGCCCACAGGCCCTTCTGGAAAATCTGGTCAAGAAATGTAGAGGAGTGGATCATGTAGGGGCCTCTAACGTAAAGCTCCAGACTGAATGGAGCACAGAGGGGTAAGAGGAAATGGTAGCTGCCTACCTCACATCTCACCCCTAGCCCAAGTCTCAGCACCCTCCCTCATCCTGCTGTTTGATCTAGCCTCTCCCACTCAGGACCAGCTCTGCCTGGCTGCCCCTACTAATGCTCAGTGCCAAAGATAAGCATCAGCTTCTGGGGGAGGGGGCACAAGGCTAAGAGAATGAGACGGGCCACTGCAGGCGGAGGCCCCACCCTTGCTGCATACTGAGACTGGGCTTCAGGCAGAGGGGAGAGGAGCCATACTGATGGGTGATGAAATGACAGTATTCAGGAGCTCTTGTGAGAGGAGCCGGAGGTCTAGCTGGGCCAGGTTCTAAGAAGCCCAAATCTGCCCTGCACACTGTACTCCAGATGGACAGACCGAAACTCAAGGCTCAGCCAGCCCAACCCTCACCAGCCAGTGATTTAACCCTTCTGAGCCTCAGACACCTCACTCACAAACAGCAGCAGTCTCAGTGCCTCTACTGGGACTGTGGTCAGACGTGAGGAAGATTGTGAAGTGTTCCAGGATTAGTAATAAACCCAGACTTAACTCCTGGGGCAAACAGATTGTTCAACAAAGGAGTTAACAGTGAGTTTGAGAAAGAGAATGAAGTTAAAGCACAACTCAATACTTGATTCACTTCTAGCAAATGATTGTTGATGCCACCAACTATGAGGCAGGTTCTGGGATTTGGCACCAAGACTAAATAAAGTCCACTGAAGCAATGTAGGGCCTCCCCCAAGGGAAGGGGCAGATAGTCACCTGTGGTTAGGCAAGGGCTAAAGGGGAGGTTTGGTGAAGGCCGGGATGTGGGGAGAGGAACTGACATCAAGGACCTGGGAACTGAGTGATTGGGTTGGGGTGCAAACAGCGGTCTGGAGACAGGGTGACAAGTCCAATCTAGTTGTGGGAAGCCTAGGAAACAATGGTGGAGGGAGAAGGGTGGTGCTGAGGGGTCTGGCTGGGAGGTTGTTACAGGAATCCACGGGGGGAGAGGCACGGAGAGGACAGAGCGGGCAGGCGGAAGGAGCCTCGGCACTAGACAGTGGAAGTGGACAGCCATTGTTGAGGGGGAAGGAGTCTCTGGAGTCAAAGGAGCAAGGGAAGAAGGGATGGGCTGGGGAATGCAAACTAGATTGGGAGGCTGCGAGTTTGGGGCATCTGTGGGACACCTGAACAGACACAGCTGTCCAGGGGACACAAGATACCCGAAGCTACTGCTCAGGCAGAGGGCTGGAAATGCAGCATGGTAGGTACATCCTAGAAGCTACACACCAGCTAACAGAAGGGGCGCATGCTGGTTGTGCAGGCTTGAAAGAAGGGTACTGAATCAAACAACCAACCACAGCGTTCCTTGTCTCCCTCCTGCAGTCTCAGCCACCACCACCAATCTGGAGTGTCTCCCTCTAAATTCACACTGTCCCACAGCCACCAGCCCACACATGTTGCTACTGAGCACCCAAAGTATGCTGTGTAAGTCAAAAACAGAAACTAGATTTAGTATTTAGACTTAGAAAAAAAGGATCATGGAAAATATGTCAATTTTCACACTGATTACAGGTTAAAATGGTATGTGGCTATGTCAGTTTAAATAAAAATTTGGTTAAAAATTCATTTCACGGGGCTGGAGAGATGGCTCAGCAGTTAAGAACACTGGCTGTTCTTGCAGAAGACCCAGGTTCGAATCCCAGCACCCACATGGCAGCTATCAGCTGTCCATAATAACAGTTCCAGCAGATCCGACAGCCTCTTCTGTCCTCCGAGGGAACTGCACGACATGGGCGCACTTACCTACATGCAGGCAATACACGCATACACATAAAATATTTAAAAATTTCATTTCACCTGTTGGACTTTTAAAATGTGGCTACTATAAAGTTTAAAGTTAACTATGTGGCTCACATTTTATATCTACTGGGTGCTACCATTCTAGCATCCCCCATAGATGGCTAATGCAGCTCTATGGATGCAGTGTCTACGCACACAGACACAGGCAGAGGAGAAGCCGCACCCACCTCTCCATGGAGTTCTGTTCTGGTCTCTTCCACAGCACACGTTCATGTACTCAACGTTTCCTAATGGTTGCATTGTCCTCGGCCATTAGAACCCGCAGAGTTCAGTTCACCAGTCTCTGCTGGGGACGTCATTGTCTCCATCCTTTTGTTAGTCATATTTTCTTTTTCTTTTTTTGGTCTTTTTGAGACAGGGTCTCCCTGTAGCCCTAGCTGGCCTGGATTCGCTATGGAGACCAGGCTGACCTCAAACTCACAGAGATCCACCTGCCTCTGCCTCCCGAGTGCTGGGATTAAAGGCGTGGGCCACCACGAACGGCTACATTGGCGCACACTGGTAGGATATGCTGAAGAGGCATTTTCTTTTTTTTAAGCTAGCATCTAAAATAGTAGGTTTCGATCATAACTTGATTCATATTTACCTTTTCCCCCCTTATTAGTCCCCTTCGTCCTTGCAAATACCCATTTTTTTCTCTTTTTTTAAATGTTTCTATTATGCCAAGCACGGAGGCACACGCCTTTAGTCCCAGCACTCGGGAGGCAAAGGCAGGCAGATCTCTGAGTTCAAGGCCAGCCTGGTCTACGTAGTGAGTCTGGCCAGGCTAGCTGAAGCTACAGGGAGACCCTGTCTGAAAAAGACCAAAAAAATGTTTTTATTATACTTATTTCTGTATGTATGTGTATGCATATGCATGTACATATGTATGTGTATATGTATATGTATGTATTCTTGCATGTTTGTGTACATGTGTATTTGTATGCATATGTGTTTGTATGTATGTATGTGTGTTTGTGTATGTGAGCGTGAGCATGCCATAGTGGGTGTGTGGCAGTCAGAGGAAACCTGGGGAGGCCAGCTCTCTTCCCCGTCCATGTGGGATCTGGGGACTGAACATGCCAGCCCATCAGACTCCATTTGCTTTTCCAAGCAATGCTAGAACAGCCTTGGGATGTTCCTTGAGGAGACTGGAGGGCCTGTCAGCAGGGAGGGGGTGAGGATGCGCAGCGACATGCACCACAGAGCACAGGTCACACTTTGAAGGCATTTTCAGGATTAAGAGATGTAGACTTTATCTTGTAGTCAGTCAGAAGTGCTAACTCTTCTTTCCTCATTAAAAAAGCCATATAGTGCTTGTTATGGAGGCATAAAGACCTGGATTCGATCCCCAGAACCCACAGTTTTAAAAAGCCTGGTGTTAAGGTTCACAGTGGTCGTTCCAATGCTGAAGAGACACAGACAGGCAGATTCTTGAGACTGGTCAACCAGACTAGCCTATATGGCAAGTTCCAAGGAACTTAGACCCCCCTGCCCTCCCTATCCTGGAGGATGCATGCATGAATACAGTGCATTCATGGGATCCTGAAACACGTATGCATGAATACAATGGAGAATATAGTTAATTCTCCAAACAATGTGGGGGTTGGGGATATAGCTCAGTGGTGAAGTGCTTGCCTAGAACATGTGAGACCCTAAGTTCAATTCATAATACCATATACATGCACAAAAATGAACTGCACCTGAGGAAGGACGCCCAAGGAGAACCTCTGACTGGTCTCCACACACAGGCATGCATACTCCACACATGCATAAACACACACAGCACTATAAAAACATCACAGGCAACTGAGAAGAATAAAAGGGAAACGCTACAGTAACCACACCACACACACTAAGCAGACCTTTTGGTCTACTTTCTGCTGGATGCTTTTGACTCTTGCCAAGCTCTCATCCTGATGCACATCACTTTTAGAGCCTATGTTTTCCTTTCACACTCCTGTGTAAGCAGTTTTCCACATGACTTCTGTCTCATGACAAGTTCATTTAGTCAGTGGCCCCAGCTAGATGTTGGGACCCTTTTCAGGTCTGTCTGAGCAGCTCAGACAAGGCGTGTTCCTGAGACTTCAGACACCCTGCTATGGATACCTTCAGGTAGCTGTCAGCCAAGCTGGCCTCCCCAGTGTCAATGGAACCCATGTCTCAGTCAACCCCAACACCTTGACCCTTCCAGATGCCATCCTGTGCCTTTACTCCTCATAGCTTAGCTTCAGGGAGGTCACCTACACACATGCACACACACACACATACACACACACACACACACGCACACACACACACACACACACCACACTTTCCACACCACCTTCCTCTTATAGAAGCTTCCACCCCCTGACCTATACATAACCAGCCTTCAGTGCCTGGGCTGGCCTCCTTCCCCTCTGTGCTCTCTCCAATGATACCCCTGCCCTCCTGGTGTACCTCAGAACTGTCTTAAGCTCCAGGCCCTACCCCAACCAGACAAGTAAACAGTTTGCCTTCTTAGCCCGGAGTCTTGTCCCAGCCATCCATGGCCTCAGGCTACCCATTCTTCCTCCACTGTCCTCCACTGCTTATTCTTCCCCATCCAGTCACCAAAGCTTTGCTTCATGCCCCAGCAACTCCCCTGTCTGGCACCATAACCCTTAACTTCTTGCTTCCAGCCACTCCCTCCCTACCAAACACCAGGTCCAGGCCTGACAGTCTTGAAGTGAAGTCCTAAGCCCTGGGCCTGGAGTGTAGGCCCTGGTGAACTGGCCCTAGTGATCTTGGACCAGGCTGGCCTCCATAGCCTCAATTCCCAGCTCTCCCCATCTGTGGCATTCTACCTCCCACCTTACAGGAAGACTTACCAGTGCACCTGCCTGCCAAGCTTTTTCCCACCTCCTCACCTGGGTACACTGGTGTTTCCTTGGGGGCTGCTCTTCCTCCTTCCCTGTATCCTTTATCTCAGTATCTTCCAGTTCTCCAGGCCCTAGCTTACAGGTCAGATCCTCCAGAAGTCCCAAGAAGCCTCCTGACTTCCTCCCTGCCCCCCTGGTTGGTATGCTATGCCCTGACTTTTCCTCACAACACCTTGTGTGTACCCTCCTCCCAGGGTTCACTGAACCCAGTTCAGTTCTTTTACTCTGCCTTCCCCAGGGCAGCCACATCTTCCTGATTCCACATCCTGAAGACAGGTCTGTCGCACACTCCCACTCACCTTGACATCCTTGACCCAGTACAGAGCTTGGTGCTACACTGTATCCAATATGTAATACCAAGTGCTGGGCCAAGCAGAGGCTGACCAACATCTTGATACATAAACATTTTCCATACTGAAGACCATCTTTGAACAGATTGCCTGTGACTTGGCCCACTGGGAACAAGTACTAGAAGCAAAATAGCTCTCCAGCATACCCAGGAGCACCTTTCTCACACTGTGTGCTGGTGGCTCAGCTATTTTTGTCATAGGTTTTTGAAAAGGTGCTCATTTTATAAGCAAAATCTGTCACTGGGTCCTACTTTGTATGTCTTTGGTTACTGGTGAGGACATACATTTTTCCATATATTTGCCTATTAAATGAATCCTTTAAGGACTTATCTGCTGGTGTGATAGAGACACTATTCGGGGAGGCTGGTCTTTTAGGAGATGGCGCTGGGGGCTGAGTGGGGAGTGAGTTGGCCAGGATCACATGGAGGCTGCAAAGAACAGGAAGGACAGAGACAAGGAGGCCAAGGGACTCCAACCTGGGGACTACCACGGTAGGTGGGGGAGAGGGAGGGCCTGGGCTGCCTGCAGGTTTCTAGCTTGGTCACCTTTCGGAGGTGCTGTGTGCTGAGAGAGTTCCCAGGGGAAGAACATGCATGCATGAATACTAGCTCGTTAATCCTCCAAGCAAAGCCTATGCACACTTGGTGGTGAACAGTTCCAAGGCATAAGGGGTTTGATGTAGGCAGCCTTCCTGAAAGGGATCACAAGGGTTAGTTTGGAAGGATTTGTAGGGCAGACAGAGCATGGAGCCAGGAGGCTGATGGCATGGTAAGGCTGTGTGAGGAAGAAACCTCATAAACACCATGAGCAGCTGAGCTTTAGTGAGTTTACAACACACAAGGCTTGCCCCAGTCTCTTGGCTAATGTTAACTCCAAGTCCTGGACCAGCCTCTGAGGATGATGTTCCAATCACTCCATCTCACAGATGAAGACACCACTGCTCAAAGGGCCCAGCCTTGTTAATAGTTGCGCAGGGATTCAAACCCAGCACCTGGACCCAATGTCTGCTTCTAACCAGGGGCTCTAGAAGATGCACAGCATTTGGGGCCCTTGCAGAAAACAACTAACCATAGACAAATCCAAAGCCCACTGCCTCCAAGCCATGAAGAGGGTCCTTGAGCTCTGTGGGAAGAACTCTAGCCCAAGCTGGACCTGGCCACCACAGATGTGTACTCTCTGAAAACAGCCAGCCCAGCATCACTGAGATCCAAACAGCTCTTCACTCACAGATTCCTCTTTCTTCTTGGCCGTTTCTCCCATCCAGGGTCAGTGTCATCCCCACCTGCTAGGCACCCCAAGCCTGGATGCCACTGTCCTCTAAGCCTGCTCAAGTCACATCCTACCACACTGATCCCCTTGCCTCTGCCTCCCAAGTGCTGGGACTACAGACGTGCACCACCATGCCCAGCTCACAATGTCATCTTTAAATGCTGAGGTCTAATAAGTATCAAGTATTATCAAAAGACACTATGATCAGCAAAAGAATAAAAAGGCGTAGAGCAAAGTGTTTGCTGTGCTGCGGGAATCAGAGGAAGAGCAAGCACTTGCTACAGTTTCCAGGCCTGTCTATGCGCAGACCAGCTCTGGGAGGACACATGAGACTAGGACCCCTGGCCGCCTCCATGAGGAAGTACTGGAAAGGCTTTGGGCTGCATATACTCTTTGTTTTGAATGTCTGCTGTGTGGGCTGTTACTAAAAAATAAATAAAGTGAAGCATAAAAACCAAGCAGTGACTTCTCCTTATGTGTACGTGCATGCTCACCCACATGTGTATCTGTGTTTGTGGGTGTGTACACAATCAGATCCGTGTATGTGTGCATATGGACATGTAAAAGAGTTGCTGATGTCCTTCCCCCTCCAACCCCCCAGAGCTAGGAAGAAACTCTTGTGGCGGCTGATCCTGTCTGCACTAGGCCTCTTGGGCCTCTATGGATATGGACACCCTATGCTCAGGTACAGCCCCTCCCCCAGGATGTGGAACAACAGTGAAAGGGTTAAAGTACATCTTTCCAGAGACCTCTTCCAGGATAGAGGGTGATAAGTGGCTTAGCCTGGGCAAGTGTCTTGTGGGCTCTCCATTCTGAGCAAGTGACATAACCCTTACTGCTGTCCCCACCCACAGGTACCTGGAAGCCTTCATTCCCATGGGCATCTGCCCCACAGACATAATGCCTCTGCTGAGAGACAACTTCACAGGTGACCTGCGCCACTGGTAAGGAGCCAGCACCCCTGCTGGGAACTCAGCATGACCATAGACTACACAGGTCTGCCCCGGGTCCCTGCCCTCCTCTCACCCCACCCTGACCTCCATCTTTAGGATCACAGGGGCCCCATCAGGTCACAAGTCACTCAGTTCTCTGTCTTTGGTTGGTTCTGAGCCAGAGGTTTTTAGGGACAGTCTGAATTGTCTGTGGGTCCCCAGGGCCCAGCATTGGGGAGCTGGCAATGATCAAACGCTAAGCAGCTGGGTGAATGGAGCTCTTTCCCAATCCTGTGGCCAGGGCCCGGCCTGAAGTCCTGACCTGTACCTCCTGGGGAGCCCCCATTATTTGGGATGATACCTTCGACCCAGATGTAGCCCAGCAAGAGGCTAGAAGGCAAAATCTCACCATTGGGCTGACTGTCTTTGCTGTAGGCAGGTAAGGCCTGGGGAGGGGTGCTGTGCTCTCAGGCAGGGAGTGGGAGCGGTGTGAACGTGGCTCAGGATCTGTGGAGCCTTGCCTCCTGCCATGGGATCCCAAAGAGGCTGAACTTGTCTCAGACTCCCAGGGAAGAACAGGCACACTCTCTCCTGTCTCCTTCTCCCTGGACGTCAATGTCCCAAAGTCCACCAAGCTATGCAGTCAGTGACTCAGAATTACTCCTAAGAAAGAAGCCACCGTGGCTTAGGTCTGGCCCACCCTGAGGGAGGCAATGGGTTTGTGTGAGAAAACGTGGGGGTCTTTCAGGTTAGTGGGGAGAAAAGGGGCACAGCAACTGGGTCAACTAAGGCATTCACTGGAGGCAGATTGCTCCACTGAAGGCACATAGCATGGCAGGGGTAAGGTTTTACCAGGGAAGTCTGGTGGAAGGAGAGGGAGTGGGAGCTCAGCGATTTGCAAGGGAGTGAACCCAAGCTGGGTAAAGAGGGACACTGGGATGGGGTGGCATTGGAAAATGACATATGGAGTGCTGGCAAGGTTTCTAGACCAGAGAACTCAGCTAGGCAGGGATGTTTGTAGGTGAAGTGGGATCAGGATTAGCTGGAGAAATGGGAGTCTCACACAGTGGTATTGTGAAGTTGTAGTTTTGGAAGTAAAGACACTGATGGTGACCAAGTCAAAAGAGTAGCCACAGAAGCAAATGACTGAGGAGGACAGGAAGGACAGAACTATTGCAGGGAGACAGAGCATTGCAAGAGGGGTCTAGACAAAGGATGTACCTCAGGTATAGGAGCCAGGTGGGTAGAACAGAAAAGTAGCAGGGCTCTGCTTTCTCATTGCGGGTCCAAGATGGTGTCCACCCAGCTCTGGGCTGGGCACGCCAATGAGATCTAGGACCCTATGGCACCAAAAGGCAGAGTGCAGGACAATAAAGGGAGCTGGCCAGGACCCTGTGGAAGGAAGGCAAGCCTCCCATCCAAGAAGAGATGGCTGAAAGGCTGGGCAAAGAATTTTGTCATCAGATGCCTTCCAACCATGTAGGCCCCCCCACCCCCAAGGCCCCATAAGGAAGAGAAAGCCAGGAGGACACTGCAATGCAAGGGGACAGACAGACCTAGTGCTGGCCCAGGGAGGATGGGCAGAATTGCTATATCTTTGGGCTTTGGCCTCTCCCAGCCTCTTAAGGAGGACAAGAATGCTCCCATGTAATCTCTATGGGCCAGAGGCTCCAGGAACCAAAATTCCAGGATCTCCAGGTCCTGGGTTCCAAGGCTGTGATTCCCACACTCTGGGTTGCTGATTTCTGGTTCTAGACTCCCACAGGTGTGCCAGGAATCGAGCAAGCACAAGTCAAGAGTCAAGCCTCAGTACCACGCTGGAGGCTTGTATACTTGTGCAAGGCACCAGAGCTCTTTAAAAGAGTGCACGGGGATTTATCCCGCAGCGCCAAGGCTGGAAGATTCTAGTATTGGGGGCTTGGGGGCACGCACGACCTGGTATGGGCAGGGGTGGAGGGTGGCAGGGCTGATTTGGGGACACCTGCCCTGCAGGTACCTGGAGAAGTACCTGAAGCAGTTCCTGGAGACAGCGGAGCAGCACTTCATGGTGGGCCAGCGCGTGGTGTACTATATATTCACGGAGCGGCCGGAAGCAGTGCCCCACGTGGCAATGGGCGTCGGTCGCCAGCTGAGAGTGGAACGCGTGGTGCGCGAGAGGCGCTGGCAAGACGTGTCCATGGCGCGCATGCGCACACTGCACGAGGCGCTAGGCGGGCGGCTGGGTAGGGAGACTGACTACGTGTTCTGCCTGGACGTGGACCAGCACTTCGTCGGCCACTTCGGCCCCGAGGCGCTGTCCGATTTGGTGGCGCAGCTTCACGCCTGGCACTACCGCTGGCCGCGGTGGCTGCTGCCCTACGAGCGGAACGCACGTTCTGCTGCCGCGCTCTTCTCCGGGGAGGGCGACTTCTATTACCACGCGGCGGTGTTCGGGGGCAGCGTGGCGGCGCTGCGCCAGCTGACGGCCCACTGTGTGCTTGGCCTGCAGCAGGACCAGGAGCGCGGCATCGAGGCGCTGTGGCACGACGAGAGCCACCTCAACAAGTTCTTCTGGCTGCACAAGCCCACCAAGTTGCTGTCACCCGAGTTCTGCTGGGCTCAGGAAATCGGTTGGAGGACAGAGATTCACCACCCTCGCCTGCTCTGGGCACCCAAGGAGTACGCACTGGTGCGAGACTAGCGAGCCCCCCACCCCCACGCCCCAGAGATCCGGTACCCTCCTGGGCCTGGCACTGGGCAGCTTTGGCACCATGGGTATGGAGGGGGAGTTACAGGAGGGAGAGACCCTGAAGCCCTTTGGGTCCCCTCTGGAAGCTGCATGACACTTGGAACACAGAGATAATGAACACGGTCGGATGTGTCCAGTGTGCCTTTTCGTCGCGACTGAGGCAGTACCTGGGGCAGTACCTGGGGCGGGCAAGTAGTCTATAGACCTTTGGTGACCTATCACCTGGCTGGGGCCCTTTATGCGAACCAGATACAAAGTGTGGCTAGACAGTGAAGCAGGCACCCTTCCAGTGCTTACCTGCAGCAGCTTTTGCAGCAGCAGCAAGGCGGGAACAGCAGCAGGTGGCTCCCCCTAGTGTTAGAGACCTCGGCGCAGGCCTCTGCCTAGGACCTTTGCGGTGCGACTTTTTAAAACTCTTGCCTAGGCCTAGGGGACCAATGTTCCTTAGCCCTTGTTAATAGCTGGTGTTACATCTTCTGCTGGGCCTAGGTATCAAGATTCCTGAGACCTGGACAGTGACCTGAGTCACAACTACCGTGCCGGCAGTATCTGAGACTAAAGGCTTGACTGCTGCCTGGAACTTTCCCAGTGACCAGGGCCTGCGGCTTGTCTTCTCTGGGTCACCACAGCCATCTTTTCTTCTTCAGCGCCAGCTCTCCATCCTCTTTGCCTCTGTTGTCCCTCTTGTTCCTACCCTGGCCTCTCTCTTCAACTGTTCTTTCTGGCTCAGGCAGCCAGCTGGCTCAGCAGCCGGGCCACAGACCCAGTCAGTTCTGCCTCTCCACGGCCAAGAAATAAGCTGCCCTGCCGGTTGCAGCTTGGCCTGCCAACTGCTCCGCTGCCACTGCCTCTACTTTCTTCATGTCGCCAGTTCAGCCCTTGCTACTAAACAGGCAAGAAAAGGCCTCTCAAGAGAAGCCTTTTATTGGCCTAATGATGCGAAACCAGGGGAAGCGGCACAGGACAGCTGGATCACTCAGGGAGTCAGTCAGCACCTGCTGATGTAGCCAGAGAAGGAATGATTGAACTAATCACAGCCTTACCTCTTTACACCACTTAAACCAGCCGCTTCTGCTGGGTGGCCGTGGGAAGTGCTCCCCTCTGAGGCCTGGGTAGAGTTCACAGAGCCTTTGACAGCAAAGTCTGGTACAAACTGTCTCAGCCAACCCTCCTTAAGGCCACGCCTTCAGGAGTCAGGGCAATGAGCTGTGATTGTTATGCAGTTTTCTCAGGGTGTCCATGGAGTGTTCCAGATGACTGGTGCTGGCCTAATGATGGGCTGGCTTGAGGCACCCAGGCAGCAAGGGAGACTCTGACAGCTGCTAATTTGAGAGCCAAGTTGCCCCGTCCCCTAGTCTTTGCTTATTTATAGGACACCAGACATCAGAAGGAAATGTTTACAGTAAGAGCTCAAAGAACTTGGACTGGAGAGATGGCTCAGCAGTTAAAAGCACTAGCTGTTCTTGCAAAGGACCCAGGTTCAATTCCCACATGGTGGCTAACAACCATCCGTAACTCCAGTTCCAGGGGAATTCAACACTCTCTTCTGACCTCCCTGGGCATTGCATGACATACATGCAGGTAATATACTCATACACATAAAAAAAGATAAAATATATTTTAAAAAGAACTGGAGGAACTTATTGTTCACACTAATAATTATTTGAACAGATTTCCAGCAATGCCTAATACCATTCAGCATCCCAGGAAGAAGTAGGTCCCCTCCTCTAGCTCCCTTTCACCCCTGACCTTCCTAAATTTAGCTAGTGCCTCTTGAACTGATGTTTTAGCCCAGCTTTCCTGCTCTTTAAAATAAGTCTGAGACACAGAGAGAGACCATAACTGCCCAGACAAGGGATCTACTGGAGGTCTTAATGATATCAGCAGCTGGAGCATGAGGACGTGTCCCTCCAGCCCTGTCCAGCTCCCTTCAGAAGTGGATCACTGAGAGAAAACAGCAGGCTTTCCAGTCAGTGGCTCTGCCTTGTTATCTTCCCTGTCTGTAAGCATAGCTTGTGCGTATTTGAGTAATATTATAATAAATAAGTCATTTTAAAACTATGCTTATGGTATTTTTCTACTAGAGAGTGGTTTTGTTTTCAGAGAGAGGGTTTCCCTGTAGCCCCAGCTGACCTGCAACTCACTATGTAGACCAGACTGACCTTGAACTCACAGAGATCCTCCTGCCTCTGCCTCCCGTTTGCTGGGACTAAAGGCATGTGCCACCATGCCCAGCTGAGAGTGGCTGTTTCTATTTTATTTTATTTTATTTATTTAATTATTTATTTATTTTTGAGACTGGAAATCTTTTTTTCTTTTTCTTTCTTTTTTTTTTTGGTCTTTTTGAGACAAGGTCTCCCTGTAGCCCCAGCTGTCCTGGAACGCACACGGTAGACCAGGCTGGCCTCGAACTCACAGAGATCCGCCTGCCTCTGCCTCCCAAGTGCTGGGATTAAAAGTGTGCCCCACCATGTCTGGCCTCTTTTTTTTTTTTTAAGAAGAAAGTCATTTCCTGGCCCTGGGCCAGCACGGCTAGGGTTAGTAGCCATGTCTGCTTGTGGATGAGTAGGGTGGTAACTCCTGCTGTTTGCCTGGCCCAACCCTGATGTTTTTTACAGTCAGATACTTTCATAAGCAAGTACAGGTATTGGGTGGGTGATATAAGAGGAATCTTTCAGGTAGGCAGCACATGCCTTTAAACCCAACACTCAGGAGGCAGAGGCAGGCGGGTCTCTGAGGCCAGACTGGTCTACATAACGAGTTCCGGGTCAGCTGGGGCTACAGGAAGACCCTGTCTCAAAAAGACCAAAAAAGGACAAAAGAGGAATCTCTCCTTTATAAAGCAGTTCATAGATCCTCAGGGTCTTCTGCGTGCACTAGACAAACCCCAGGCCTTTTGGACTCTGGAGGAGAGACTGAATGGACTGGGTGTGCCTAGGAACAGGTGGGTGCTGCATATGAGCTGGTACATTCCTTCCTACCATGGGACAATGCTTGGCCTCCACCTTACCCCGCAACACTCACCAGCCCTAACAAATAGACACGTTCTTTGTTTGTGCTCCAGGAAGATCTGGTTGTGAACTCCTTGAACTCTCCTTACCTGTGCTTAGCCTTAGGTGTTCACAGGGAATGTGGGGAAGCCAGGGGCTCTCCTTGCACGGGCTGCCCTCTCCCTCTCTGCCTGCCCTATTTCAAACAAGGTCATAGAAGGGACTCTCCTCAGAGCCATGGATTCCACTTTCATAGGGAATAAATGACGTGATCAAGAGTTTCCAGGACCCAGACTCGGGGTAGCCAAGTGCTGCTGACGGAGACCATCTGAGGAGAGGCAGAAGATCCAGGAACCTGCAGGGAGAGGTAGAATGGAACCTCTTGCTCCCTACTGCTCCTGAAGGGGGCTAGAGTTACAGAGGGTCTGAGGCAGGAGTGAAAGGAAGGAAAAGCTCACTTCTACAGTGATTTCCATAGTAACCACCACTGTTCTCAGCACCTGTCCTTGGGTCCACATAGCGTGCTCACACACTCCTCAGCAGGGCAAATGAAAATCAGAATCTCAGTTCTCTGGGTATCAGCACTACACTCAAAATCTATGCCCATCCCAGGTGCACCACCCTGCCATGCCAGGCCACGGACTACCCAGAAATCCCTGAGAAGCTCCAACTGTCTTAGGGATGATTGCTTCAGCAGGGTCATGCCAAGTACTAGCAATAGCAGGATGTATATTTGTGGTAATTTATCACACGCTGGGTACAGGTCTAAGCATTCCACATATATTGAGTCACTTAACCCTTACATTCTCTATAAAGTGGTTGCAATTATTGATCTCATTTTATATAAGAGGACATCAGGCACAGAAGGGTCAACTAATGTACCCAGTGTTACACCATTAGCAGCTAAAACTCCTGAATGACAGAACAAACATGAAATAAAATGTAGCTAAGGGATGAAGACTGGAAATCAAGACCCTGCTAGCTCTCAGTCAGCTCCAAACATTTCTATGTTTCCCTGCATCCTTTGATATGCTTGGGTCTGACTGAACACAGCCACCCAGCCCCTAAGCTCTAGAGTCTTCCAGTTCAGCTGCCTACCATCTCCTAACTTGTTCCTGGTTCATGGAGTAGAGACTCTGACTGGAAAGGCAGATTCCCACATGAGCAGGTAAGTACTTAGCAACTGGCTCTTCAAGAAAATAGGAGATGACTTAGTTGGTTAAGTCCTCGCTATACAAGCAGGAGGACCTGAGTTTGAGACCCTGGAACCCACATACAGCTAGATGTACTTGTAATTCCAGAGATTGGGAGGCAGAGTCAGCCAGATCCCTGGGCTCCCTGGCTTGCCAGCCTAATATAATCAGAGAGCCTCAGAGCAGTGAGAGGCCCTGTCTCAAAAGATAAACTTTTTGTTTTAAAGGTGGAGGCTGGAGAGATGGCTCAGCAGTTAAGAGCACTGACTGCTCTTGCAGAGGACCTAGGTTTGGTTCCCAGCATCCACCCACACGGCAGCTAACAACTGTCCATAACTCCAGTTCCAGGGAATCCAATGCCCTCTTCCGGTCACTGCATGCATGTGGTGCACTTATGCCAATCACTGAGAGGTGACGGAAGCATGAGGTCTCTAGTCTAATCAATGATAATCCCTTCATGAACTCATAATTTGATGGCATTATTGGGAAGGTTGGTTGGAGGAAGTAGGTCACTGGGAGCCTGTTAATGAAGGTCATCGTGCCCCTTGCCCTTTCCTGTCTCTCTCACTCTGTGGTGAGCAACTATGCTCTTCCACATCCCTCCACATTGACATTCTGCCTCACCACAGTCCCAGAAACAATGGAGCCAGCCAACCATGAATTGTACCTGAGAAACCATCAACCCAAATCAATCTTTCCTCCTTTAAGCTCTTTCTTTCCAGTATTTGTCACGGCATGAAAAGTCTGAGTAACACAGAAAATTTATGCCAGTGAATTAGGTCATTCTTATGACTACCTGAAGCCTTTGGGACTGCTGTGTAGGAAAAAATCCGGGAAAGTTTGTAGAAGCAGGCTAGCAGAAGCAAGGATTTCTGTAAGCAGAGTTTCAGGGGAAATTTTGGTGGGGACTCAGAAGACCAGAATGCTGACAGGAGGTGGAGAGAAAATGTTGTGCTCCTGAGGTTTCAGAAGAAAATGAGAACTCTGAGGAAAACTGGACTAGAACTCATTCAGGTTACATTTTGACAAAAGAAACGTGCACGTCCACGCCCTTCAACGTTTATGCTGTGTGTCACACAGGTCCAGAAACAACAGTGACAGCCCACCATGGTCTGTAATCTCTAAAGCCATGAGCACAAATAAATCTGAATCTTTGAGAAATTATGAATTTAAAAGTGATGGAGTCATTATTTGGCAGAGGAAATTTCAGGTCAGCACATAGTCAAAGTACATGGTTATTGCTAGCTGAGTTTAGCCAGATTGACAGTGAGAAAGATTTGTGAAACATACAGTGTAACCAGAAAATAGCCACAAGTCACATGTAAAGTTGGAGCCATGCAAAGTGTTGCTACTAAAGAGTTTAGTGCCATTTAAAAAGCTAAGACTGAACTGGGCGTGTAGTGCATGCCTTTAATCCCAGAACTCGGGAGGCAGGCAGATCTCTGTGTGATCGAAGCCAGTCTGGTCTACATAACAAGTTCCAGGCCAGCTGAGGCTACCAGGAGACCCTGTCTCAAAAAGCCCCCTCCTCCAAAAACACCTAAGCATGAGCAAGATGGCATAGCAGGTAAAGGTGCTAGCCATTAAGCTGAACAACCTGAGTTTGATCCCCAGAACCCACATAGCAGGGAGAGAACCAACTCCCATAAGTTGTCTTCTGACCTCTACATGCACATTATGGCACACTTGCACAGAAACACACATACAAACAATAAATAAATGGTTTTAAAAATGTTTTATAAAGCTAAGGATAAGGCAGCAAGATGGCTCAGTAGGTAAAGGCACTTGTTGCTAAGCCTGACAACCTGAGTTCCATCCCTAAGATCCACATGGTAGAAGGAAAGAACTGACTCCTGAGTTGTCCTTCTGGCCTCCACATGCCCATCGTGGCACATGCCACCCCATAAGTATGTGTGCGAGCATACATATATATACATACATTGTATATATATGTATATATATATTATATATATGTATATAACATATATATATATATATATATACATTTTTTTGGTCTTTTTGAGACAGGGTCTCCCTGTAGCCCCAGCTGGCCTGCCTAGAACTCACTATGTAGAGCAGGTTGGCCTTGAACTCACAGAGATCAGCCTGCCTCTGCCTCCTGAGTGCTGGGATTAAAGGCATGTGCCACCATGCCTGGCTATATAAAATAATAAAATAACAATAATAATAATTTTTAAGTACTGGAATTTATTTAAGAAGCTAAGCACACCAGGGATGGTGGTTCATGCCTATAATCCTAATACTTGGGAAATTGAGACAGGATTGTCTTAATTTGAGGATAGTCCTGGCTACATAGTGGGGTCAAGGAGGTTTATGCTACAGAGCGAGCCCCTGTCTCATAACTAACAAATAACATTTTTAACTTAAAAACAAAATAAAGCATATCCTTGGATCCAGCAGCCCGAGTGTTCAGAGGCCACTGCAGCCGTCGTCCAAGGAGGCTGAGGATAGCTTGAGCTACAGCAGATCTCAGTGTCATCCATCTGAGGCTACTTTTTGCATGCATGTAGAATATAAGAATTACAGGGTCATGGAGACCTCCACCTAGATTTCCGAGGAAGGCCTGAGAAGACAGTGAGCAGCAGGGTTGGAGTCCCTGTAGGGAGTCCCTGAAAGAGTGACACACAGGTTGTGAGAAAGAAGTCAATGAGGCAATCAAGATGCCAAGAACATGGAGCATCCTCCCAGCAAAGCTGCAGGCAGGGAGCTGAGCTACTTCACAAGACAGCTCATGTGGCCTTCAGGCAGTAAGGCTACAGGGAGAGCTTGCATCACACCACCATCTCCCAGACAAAGGACACAGAGCTATATTCAGTCTTACTTTGATCTGACCCTTCCCTGCTCTTCTGCGGTTCCTCCCGATTCTTCCTTCCTTCCAGACCATGTCACTGTCCTTAGAAGTATGCAACTTTCATTTCACAGGGCTCACTGCTAAGAGTTTGCTTTGAGTCTTAGAGGCTGGAGAAGTACCCAAGGACAGAGCTGACTCAAAGCAGAACCAAGTGGAGGGCTAAAGACACGTCCTTTGAATCCTGAAACTGGCGGGTCCACTGTGCTGCTACCTGAGCCAGTAAACTCTCATTTAAATTGAACTAACAGATTGAGGTTGTAGTTCAGTAGGTACAGTGCTTGCCTAGCATGCACGAAGGCCCAGGTTCATCCCCAGCACCGTATAAGCCTGGCAGGGTGACCCATATCTGTAATCGAAGTGCTCAGAGGTAAAGGCAGGAGGCTTAGAAGTTCAATGTCTTTCTTGGCTATACAGTGAGTTTGAGGCCAGCTTGGATTACATGATTCTGTCTCAAAAAAGAAATGTACATAAATTGGACCATCACTTACAGACAGGCCTTGACGATGACGGAAGGCTCTCAGCACTCCCAATGAACTCTGGTGGCACCTTGAGTTACTCCTGTCTCTTCCAGAACACCTCCACAGGGCTAGCCTTGATCAACTGGTGAGGACGAATTCCTCCATTCCCCTCCTAGACATCAATCCATTGACCCTTAGGAAACCGAGGTTCCAGTATATATCTACAGAGGTTTCAAACTCGACAAATTTGTTAAGTGTAGGCCCCTGTCACTTAACTGGGGCATGTTCAAGGGCCAGCCATCTCTCTTGGTTTGCAGCCCTTTCCCCAGGTTGTCATGAAGCATTCCAGCACATAGTGGGATCCTACAGCAGGTGACCATCACTTCCCTTCCCAAGCCTGGGGCAGAGCTGTAGAAAGGTGCCCGGCCCCGCTCTCCCAGACAGCACGCCACACACCGCTGCCACCCGGGTACAGTTTATTCTTCACAACAGAGAAATACAACGAGCAGAGGGCTGTCACCCCTTGTTTCTTGCCCCCTTTAGTGTTCGTCCTCCACATATGATTTCCGTTTTGCTCCCCACTCCCTTTTTTAAGTAGAACACAAACTTCTCTCCTGAAGTGTTTGAGGGGCACCTGCCCCCACCTCCCTGCCACCGAGATGCAAACTGAGAAGCCAACAGACTGTTTTCTCTTTTTTAATAAGGTAACTATTTCTAAATATGGTGGCCTGGAGGTCCCATAGAAAAAAGCAAAGGGTGTTAACAGTATTAGAACAGCATATTTACAGGGTAGTAACATGCGGACGAAAAGCTACAATACTGAGTATCAGACGACGCAAGTCAAACAAAGGGGTAGGGGTGGGGGGCAGAGACGCCCCCTGTGGAAAAGAAACCCCAGGAAACGTTAAACTGGTAAATCAATGGCGAGTTAAGGCTTAAAAAGTGTATAAAAATAACACAGTTAATATTCAAAACGGAACTCCAGATACAGAATATATAGATGAGTTTTTGTCTAGTTTTCTTTTTCTCCCGGGGGGATGTGGAAGGGCTCTCTGGGATCTGTACATGGTTCCTATATACACGAACACGCATGGCTTTCAGATTGGGATGTGTCTGGGGGGGCTGGGGGCAGGGTCTGCTCCTGGGTCCTCCTCTGGAGGATCTCTTCCCTGTTGCAGGGCCTGGGGCCTGGACTGGGGAGTCCCCTTCTGTGGCAGGGAAGACATCTCCTTCCCTCCCCATCTGGAGAGGATTATGGAAGGGGATCTTAGTCCCAGGCCCACTCCCTCCCCATCCCTCTGCCCACAGTCTGGGGTGGTGGGAGAGGTAGCCGATAGGTTTCCTGGCCAGCACCGAGGTAGACTGGGGTGGTCTTCAGGGCAGCAGGGGAGGGGCCAGGTCTCACCCAGCACCTCCCACCCCATTTCCCTGGACTTGACACCCAGCCGTCACTGCACCCTTTGGTCCTGCGGCTCTCCAGGCCCCTCTGAGTTCCATGCCCTGAAGCCAGGCAGCCCTGGCAGTGGCCAAGCCCTCTGCTCAGTGAAGCCTAGGGCAAGGCTCAGACTGTTTGAGCTGGGCACCCAGGTGAAAGGGCTCACTCCAGCCAGCTGCCTCCTGCTCCCTCCCACCTGGGGGCACCCCTTTGAAGTTCAAAACCCCAGGCCTGAGCCTTCCCTCAAGACCTGAGGCTATGGCCAGGGAAGGTCCCACGCTGCCCTCCTGTTCTCTATATCCATCTGTCCAGTCCTTTTAACTTCTCAGTCTTAGCAGCACCAACGTTCTGGCCAATAAATATCCTTTTTGTTATTTCCAAAACAAACTTAAAAACAAGAAACAGTGAAGCAAGTGAGGGATGGGGAACAAAAAGAAAACCCAACAGACAGGTTCAAAGTGCTCTGAGATCGTCTTTGGATGCCACCAGAACAGTCCAGAATCTTGCAGTTGGCCTGGCCATCCGGGAACTGGACCAGGTAGGGCTTCTTCGGACCAAGCTTTCTAGCAGATTGGGAAGGTCATGAGAGAGCTTGGCGGTTCCTGGAGGCCCCACTGGGTGTCAGTCAGGCCGGGTGCTGCCTGGGTCTGTGTCTGCCAAATGGGCCGGGCGGGGCAGCGCAGTGCCACAGGTGGGCTCAGATGAGAGAGATTCGCACCGGGATTCCGGGGGACTCCGTCCTCTGGGGCGAGTGATGGCTCACCAGGTGCTCCACCACCGTATGTTTGGACATGTGCTTCATCAGGTAGGTCTCCTGTGGGCAGAGAAAACCCGAAGCCATCACTACAGCCCAGGCTGCAGTTCCTACAAGGACCACTGGAGGGATCTTTAACAGGTGGTGCAGCTGGATCTCTGGTTTGGGGAGCTTGGGCTGCTTTGCTGGGTCCTGTCCTTCACAGTGCTGGCTGGGGGTAGGGAGGCTGATGGGCACTAGGTTTGCCCTCAGCAGTGCCCACCTACAATTCTCCCACCCCCACCCCAGAGCCAAGCCAGGGAGCCCTTCGCCATCTGCTGTAACTTGCTGTGTAATCATGAGGACCTGAGTTTAAGCCATAGAACCCAGCCCTGCCAGCTGGAAGCACAGCTGCCTGCATCCATATTTGTATCTCATTGGTGCTCCCAGGGGCCTGGCCTTGAGTCTAGTTCTGGCCATTTCTTAGCAGTTGGGCTTCGGACAAGTCAACTTCCCCCACCCCGAGCTCATGTTACTCCTCGGTAAGCAGGAAAGGGGAAGGTTGCTATGGTCATGTAGATGAAACCCTTGGCTTGCAATGAGAGTTGAAGGGGCCACTCCTTTCCCAGTCTTAATATTTTAATCCAGGCAGTAGCAGGAGTCCTGGCTGTGAAGGCAAGCCTGAGTTACCCCTATCCCCCACGGCTCTGCTGTTTGCCCTGAGGCAGCACCTCCTGGGTGGGCGAGGGGACCCGGGCTCTCTGTATCCTGGGTCCCCAGCTGCCACGCTGGACCTCATACCTCAAGATGGGATGAATTAGGCAGAGGGAGCCTGTGAATATAGCAACATGTTACTACACATGTAGTAACTACACATGTACTACACATGGCCAGAGGAAGCACTTAGCCACAGCCGAGCCACACAGCACAGAGGAGAAAGAAGGAGGCTGTGGCCTAAAAGACACTGACTCTGGACAGTATAGGAATCTTTTATTTTATTTTTATTATTTTTATTTTATGTGTATCAGTGCAGTGTCTGCATGTATGTAAGTGCACCCCTATCATTCAGTGCCCTCAGAGGCCAGAAAAGGGAGTCAGATCCCCTAGGAACTGAAGTTATAGATGGTCATTAGCCACCATGTGGGTGCTGGGAATCGAACCCAGGTCCTCTGCAAGAGCAGCCAGTGCTCTTAACTGTTGAGCTGTCTCTCCAACCCTAGTATAGGAGCCCTAGTATAGGAATATTATTTGGGTCTTGCTTAAAAAAAAATCTGAAAATAAATAAAATTATGGCACTTGAAGAGACAAATGATGATGTCTATACACTGAATGTTTTAGAAGGACTTTGAATAAGGAATTACGAAGATAACTGGGAAAAGACCAGGAATGCCGGGAACGGTGGTACACACCTTTAATCCCAGGATGCAGGAGGAGGCAGAGGCAGGTGGCCTCTGTGAGTCCCAGGCCATCCTGGTCTACATAGCGAGTTCTAGGCCCACCAGGGCTACATATATAAATATATAAATAAATATGTTCAAAAAAGAGTCATTATCTTTAGAGACACAGGGTGAAGGTAAAGTTTTTACAATTGAAATAACAGGATGTCTGAGTTTTTATTCAAAAAGCAGGGGTACAGGGACTGGGGGTGGGGGACAGTTCAGCCAGCAAAGTCAAGCACTTTGTGTAAGCATGAAGGACTGTTTGATCCCCAGAACCCACATAAAAACCTGGGAGTGCTTGCACATACTGGTCCTTGCTGGCTAGCCAGCCTAATCTGACAAGCTTCAGGCAGGTGAGAGACCCTGTCCCATGAAAGCAAGGTGGCCAGCCCCCGAGAGCCCTGGAGTTGTCCTCTGGCTTCTACATGCACGCACAAGTGCACGTGCACACGTGTTCATGCATATGCACACAGGTACATACATAAAAGGTATCTTTTAAGGCGGGACTATGGATGGTACAGAGTCGGCCGAAGGTGAAAGACAGTGCTGAGCGCTTGGGGCTTGGGTGAGGCAAAGAACTCCGAAGACGGACAGCTGAGGGAACCCCCAGCCCTTTGGGACACTCGTCCTGAGGTCCGTCCTCTCGGCTGCTCAATTCTCCTAGGCCCTTTGGACTCCAGAGAAGGGTAAATGTCACTCAGCCTTCACGAGGCATCAGCTCTGGCGGACTCCTGACTAGCATGCCCTCTACAACCCACACAGCCCTCCAGCCAGTGACCGTTCCACAGCTCCTAACCTCTCCTCCCAGTGGCTTCCTCTTCTACCTGGAAACATCCAAATTTCCTAAAGTGTCCTAGGGCCCTGTGACCTAACTTCCTCTCAGTTCAGCTAACCGCCCCCTTTGCTTCGCTTCCGGTTGTTTCCCTCACTGTTCCTGCATGGAAGGTCATCACCCCTTTTAAACACCTCATCAAAGTATCCTTCAAGACTTCACCATTCTGCTTACTACCTCAAAGCCCATGTATTCAAGGCTAGGGTCCCCACCCCATGGCACTATTGGAAGGTGGTGGGACCTTTAGAAGGTGGAGGTACCTTTAGAAGGTGGGGCTCCTCAGGAGGTCACTGGGTCTTTGAATGGGCTACTGAGACTCTAGTCCTTTCCTCCTCTTCTCTTTGCTTTTTGGTCACCATGAGCTGAGTACTTCACCCCAATATGTGCTCCCAGTCAGAACCTTCTTCCCCACCACAGGTCCAAAAGCAATTAGGCCAACTGGCTAACTGTGAACTGACACCTCCAAAATTGTGAGTCAAAATAAACCTCTCCTCTTTTAAAATTGACTATCTTTAATATTTTGTCACAGAAAGAAAACTGATTAACGCATGGCCCTTTCTTAGAAAGTCTTATTTGAATGGTTCCCAGCTTCATTTCCCCACCTGCTGCTGCCTCTCAAAGCAGTGGTTCTCAATCAGAAACAATTACCCTCCAGTGGACATCTGGCAATGTCTAGAGACGTGGTCACATCTTGGGGAGGCCAGGTTGCTACTGGCACCCAGTGGATAGAAGCTACAGAAGCTGCTGGTACAGAAACATTGTACCAGACACAAGAGAGTGTCCAACAACGGAAAGACATCCTGCCCAGGGTCCGTTAGGACTGGGCTGCCAAGCTGAGCTTTGGAGCAGTGACTACAATCTGCCAGTAAAACCTTGTGGTTAGTAATACCTGTTCTCATTGGTAGTTACCTGACTGTGATTCCCTTACTGCTATCTCCTGATTCCATAGTGCCTGGTACACTGGTCAGTGAACACTGAAGAATGAGTCACTGTGCTCCTTAAAGTTTATTTGGCACTCCTCTGTGGCCAGTAGCCCTGTGAGTTAATCCACTTGATAGACAGGAAACTGATACTCTTTATCTCTCTTTTGAGCATCTGAGGACCTGTCACCAGAGCAGTCAAAAGACTAAGAACACACACGGCTGAGTTACCTGGGTGCCCACCCAGGAACCAGCTCTGGATGCAATGGCCTTTCCCAGAAAGAATGGCTCTAGCTGCATCCCTGTGCCCCCTTGTGGCGCTGTCAGGGATCGCAGCTGCCTCATAGCAGGACTGTCTTCTGAGCTGCAGGGCCCCCACCCTTCCCTTATGGCTCTGGAGTCCAGTAGAGATCGGGTGGCAGGACTCACCGAAGTGTAGGCCCGCCCACACATGCTGCAGCAGTAAGCCTTGGCGTGCTTGATGGCGTGGGCCGAGAGGTGAATCTGCAGGGAGGCCGAGTCTGAGTAGGCCCGGTAGCAGTTGGGACACTTGTAGGGCTTGTCCTTGTTGTGCTGGCGCTGGTGAGACTGCGGGAGCATAGCAGGGGGTCAGGAGGCAGTGCGACTCTCTTCCCCACCTCACCCCCTTCTTGGGCTCCCTGGGGGGTGGGGACACAACTGTGCATCTGGAGGGACAGGAGGCAGGCAGGTACTCACCTGGAGGTTGGAGAGCTGAGTGAAAGCCTTTTCGCAGCCAGGATGTGGGCACTTGTATGGTCTGTCTCCTGTGTGGATTCTGCAAGAGCAGACCCAGTGAGGTGATCTGACACACCCCTAGCACAGCTCCAGGCCCCAAGGGCTTGGCTACCAGGGGCTAGACCTCTGCTTCAAACCATCTATGTTCCCACCCCGCCCTCTTTCCTGGATGGCCATGGGTGGGCCCCAAACAAAAGCTAGGGACTACACAGTTCTATCACAGTCCTTCTCTGGCCTCTATTGCTGAGAGCCCCACTTCCAAGACCCCTGCCACACCCCCTCCCCTCCAGTACACAGCATGGGTCTCCACTAGTCACAGGACCCTACTGGGGCTTCATGCTGCTCCTCTCTTTTGGAAAAACCCACCCTGCACCCACTAAGAACACAGATTCCCAGTGTGGTCAGGACCTTTGCTGCCCACTAGACTCCTTCCTTCCCAAAGGAGACATCAACCTCTCGTTGACCCGACTCCTACTTCCTGTCTCCTCTCTACATTAGGATGCATATCCTTGACAGCAGCATGGTCACCATAGTGACTGAGAGAATGCAGCAGTGTGGCCCCTGGATCCCTCCACCCCCCTTCAACCTGATTCACCAGCTGGGGAAGTCTGGGCCCTGGGCTTCAGTTTCCTCACCTGCCCACCTCACCAGGCCTACCTCACCAGTCTGTCTACGTAAGGGGCGTGGCTTTGTGCTGTCATGGTTAGCACTCCGAAACAGCAGCCAGAAGTATTATTCATTCGTTCAACATTTATGACACTGGGTACCAGCATGTCAGGCACTAGCCTAGGTACTTGGAATCCATCAATGAGCAAAACATATAAAAGTATCATGTGCTGGAAATAAGCCTTACAAAGTAAGGAAAGGGCCAAGAGCAGGCAGAAGGAGCTGGGGGACCGTGCATGCCAGGGAGGATGGTGGGGGTAGGCCCATCGAGAGGGTGATCTTGAGAAACAGGCAGAAGGCTGATGACAGCCTAGGTGGGGATGCAGCAGTAGACAGAGCTATGACATCTGAAAATGGAGTTTGAGAGCCAGGCACGTGCAAGCAGGTGGCCTTCCTCATGTTCCACACTCAGGCCTTTAGTTAGGCTAGCTCCACAGATTGGCCAGTCACTGGCAAATCCTCTATGCCCAGCAGGTGGGCAACAAAGCGCCAGCTTGTCCCGAACCATCTTTGCCTGGTTTGCTAGTGAAGACTGAGTGGAGGGGATCCAGATTTGGCCAAATAAGTCTTCTCTTTCCTTCCCTGGTCTGCACATCTTGCTGGCACACCAGGTTCACTCTTGCCTCCAACCATGTCATCTGAGACACTAAGGTTCCTCAGCCACCCCTACTGGATGTAGGGACACAAGGCTCCCTGCTGTCAACATCCACAACTGTGACTGTCATCTAAGCACAGACACATCCAAATTCTTCTAGGTGTCATTGGAAACCTCCATCGTGTGGCCCATCCTCACCTCCCCACTCTCCTGCACCTAGTCCAGGTCAGGTAACTATTTCCTACCTAGCAATATCTGAGGATTCACACACACTCACGCACACGCGCGCGCCCCCTAGCTATGCCCTGGTTCCTCTGCTTGCCTGCCACCATCTCATCTTGCCCAGCTGAACCCTGCCCTGAGCAAGTTGTCTCTCACCCTTGCCCCAGAAGCTCCCCAAAGCCCTGCCCACCACAACCTCGTCCTATGGCACTGATATCCCCAACTGTCAGGCATACATGTGCCTGTCTCCTCCACTTAATGGGGAATCTGGAAGGCAGGGGTGCTGAATGGGTGAAGCTGACCCAGGCCTTGCTCCGTTTCTGCAATGGAAGAGCCTACAGGGTTCTCTGGCCAGCTCCACCTATTGTCAGACCCCCTCCACTTCAGCCTACCAGCTCTCCTCCAGGCTAGGGGATTCATATGATTGGAAGCAAGTGGCAGGACAAGCACTGGTTTTTTTTTTTTGTTTTTTTTTTCAATTGTTGTTTGTTTGAGACAGGGTCTCCCTGTAGCCCCAGCTGAACTCACTATGGAGACCAAGCTGGCCTCAATCTCACAGAGATCCACCTACCTCTGCCTCCCAAGTGCTGGGATCAAAGGTGTGTGATCCACCACACCCAGCAATGCACTGTTTTTGTTTTAAGCCCCAACACCTCCCCAGTCTGCCTCTCCCACACACTCCAGTCCCTCCTCCCCTCTGTCCTGAGCCTGGACCCACTACTACCCCCAATTCAGACATTCTGTTCTCCACCTTTATCTATGTCTTTATCTACGCTGCTCCCTCCAGCTCTTGCCTTGGTTCACACCTGTAAACTCACATGCCTATTTTCAGCATAAAAGCCCCTTCCCTGGGCAGACCTCCCTGACCCTCCATACTAGGTCAGATCCCTACAGCCAGCCCCGAAGCACTGACATCTCTCATCCAAGAGTCTGTCAGCGTCAGGTCACTTTACTTGGCTCCATCCATGACAGCTTCCTATGGTCCTGTTTACTGCCCTTTCCCCAGCACCTGGCCCAGGGAGGCCTCAAACAACAGTTGTAGGCTACATAAAGACAAGGGGCTCCTCTCTAAAGTCGAGTCACTGACAACAGAAATATGATCCGTATAATCAGCCACCATGTCTGAGGTGCTTCACAACCATTTGTTGACTAATAATCTTCCAGGGATTTCAGGTCCTCCCTCAGGGACACATTAAGCCTCTTGACCAGCAAACTGCTCCTCTGGTTTCCTCCTCTCCAGGTATGCCAACTGTCCAGCCTCCTCCCTGGGTGCTCAGCCTAAGTATCTGTCTTTAGCTTGGATAACTACCCAGGGGCCTGATCTTCTGGCGACCCTGGTCAGCAACTCCATTGTTCCCTCTGTCCAGCCCAGAGTCCCAAGCCCTTGCCCCAGCTTTCAAGACCCTTCACGTTCTACCTTGGTTTCTAAAGCCTCCTCCTAACACCGCTCTCATTGACCTCACTTCCTCCCTCAGCACATACCCAGCCTCAAGCCTTAGGCTTCGTCCAAGATGTTCCCCTGTCAGGACAGTGTTCCCTCTGGCTAGGGAGGGTGCTGGACCCTTCAACACCTGACCCAGACATTCCACCTCATCTTCCCTCTTGAATGGGCATCTCCACATGCACCAGCCTCCTGGTCACAGTGGCAGTCACACTGGGGGTCCCCTTAAGCCAGGGCCTGTCTCTGACCTGCCCCTGTGTGTGGCACCCAGCACATGGCTGCCTCAGAGAGGGCTTTAGGGATTGTCGGTTGGACAAAGAAACAACCAGGCTGCCTGTTCCCACCAGCCATAACGCTGTGGGTTTCAGACCCTGAGTTTCAGACCAGATCCTTATCAGGATCCTCTCTCAGGTGTCTTCTCACTAGCGGAGCATCCAGCCTTGGTTCCCACATTTGTGGTGACAGGAAGCCCAGTCCGACCCCAGGCACAAGGAAAGCCAGCTGAAACTGGTGCATTGCCTACTCCCCACCCCCGTGGCCCCAGCCCCACCTGAGGACCCTAAGACTCGCTCTGCTCTCTTGTGCTTCTCCTGTAACCCAGACCCTGGTGGTTTTCTTCAGCCAGAAACCAAGAATGCTTCTTCATGCCCTGAGCTTGGATCCTACTTTTGCCACCTCTTGGCCAAGAGGCTGTGCCTCCCTGAACCTCGGTTTCCTCATCTCTAAAATGGGGATAATGATCAAGACAATAAGGACTATAAGGATCAAAATACTCCATAGAAGGGTATTCACACAATACTTCCCCAGTGTTAGCTCATTTTTTAAAAAGAAGGTCTCCCTGTAGCCCTAGCTGACACAGAACTCAATATATAAACCAGACCAACCTCCATCTCACAAAAGATCTGCCTGCTTCTGCTTCCCAAGTGCTGGGACTAAAGGTGTGTGCCATCACCACACCCACAGTGTTAGTTCTTAATATACAAATTTCTATTTAAGATAAATGATTTATATAAGTAACAAATAACAAAGGAGGAATTTAATGTTTAAATAAAATTATTATTAGAGTCTCGTCCGATAGAATAGTTAAAATATTGATAGCAAAAAATAATGATGTCCCAGGTTTGTTTGTTCATCTGTTTGAGGCAGAGACTCACTCTAGCCTAGGCTGGCCTCGAACTCCAGGTAAACCCCTGCCTCAGCCTTCTCAGTGCTGGGATTACAGGCATGAGCCACTATGTTCAGTGAGCTTTCTTTCTTTTTCTAGGTATTTTCCACTACTGATGGCTTCAACCTCCTTGTATTTTGTAATTAAACCAATGGTAGATGTAGCAGAAGCTAATAGTCATCTAAAGGATTCCCTTTCTAAGGCTTTTCGCATTCTCTCCTATGAGGAAGCACATTCACTCAGGGATGCCTTGTATGTTAAAGTGCCATGTGGAGGATCAGGTGCACAGGAGCCCTTTGATATAGAAATCATTCTTAATATTATAAGTATTGTCACTAGGCTTGTGAAAGCCAAATGCACTGTGGCTACTACACTTACCATTACTTCTGTGTATCACATCACACAGCCAGGGAAGGAAAAACAAACCCAAGACACAGTTTGCACCCTGCATGAGCAAACACAGGCAGCGTCACTCTGTCTGGCACTGGGTTCCACAAATAGATAAAAACTCTGAGCCCTCTCCTGTAATTTACAGACGCCCTTGTGAAGCAATGTTATCTTTGACTTTCACACCCTGATACCCATAAACATGTGGTGCCTTTCACGTGTGTTTCTTTTTGTCACAATTGCATGGAAGTCTCTGTTGCTCCACCGAAAACAGACCGTGGTAGAAGATGTCCTGCTTGCATTCTCTATAAAGGCATGTTATTTATTATGTGGTGAAGTCTGGATGTGTGGGATAGTGTGGAAGCCTCCTGTTCTCTTAATGTTCCTTCTCTCCTGAGATGCCATTAAATTACTGTCACCCTGACAGTGGTCCTGGGAACAACCCCCAGCTCCCAGGCAGACCTGGCACACTCTCTTTTGACTCTGCTTCTTTCGTGTGCCAGCCCTGGTTCTACTCCAAACAGGCCATCTTTTATCCATCATAGGATTTGGTTGTTTTGTTAT